TCACCCTAGGCAAAGATATTCTATTTCTCGTCCCGGAAAAGGTGTCTTGCGTTGAGGATGTGTGCCTTGCATATATTTCCATCCAGTATGAAAAGAGCATGGGTCCCGAAAATTCTTCAGAAACTAGAGAAATTATCTACGAGAACTCGAGAGAAATTCTCGTACTGATCAATTAGGACATTCAGGGGAACATTATCAGATCGAGCAGATCGCCCAAATGCCGGTGGCTGCGATAATTTCTCTGTTTCTGAAGAATTTTCGGGACCCATGCTCTTTTCATACTGGATCGCGTGTGCCTTACAGAAACTGAAAAGTTCTTCCTATAGATCAAAATATAGAAAATAATATTTTGTTATAAAAAGGTTTTATTTTCTTTGCTGATTATTTTGAACATAAAAAATCATAAATCCGTTGCAAAAAAAATAATTTCGTGAAAGTGAACTATTTCCTTTAAATACCTTTCGTGCGTCGCCAGCTGGCCAGCCAGCTGACGCAATCCAGCTTTTACCAAAGCCCCGAAAAGCGATGACGTGAGCCCTAATATTGGCTTCACCCAAGGCTATATAAACCAGGTAGAACGCTCCCGAAGAAAAAGTGGTGACAAGCAATATTTAGTTGCCGCGACCCTCACTTGTTCAAGACTATATCCGCAGGCAGCATTTACAAGCTAGCGGAAATCGACCAATCGGCGTTCGGCAATACTCAACGCTGATTGGCCCGATGCTCGTGACGAAATTGCGGGGGACTGCAGCCATTCCCCTATGGCGTTTCATTGACTTATGACTTTTGAAGGGGTTTTGTATCAGTTTTTGTTGGGTTTGAGGCCATTTTTGAGCTTGGATATTCTTTCCGTGACCTTTGACTATATAATAACGACATTTAATCATGACATTTCTATATACTACCGGTGTCACATCGGCCAAAAAGACCGTAAGTACATGGGATAGACGGACCACTGCTGATGGGGCCACACATGCCGGCGTGTGGTCATCGGAGGCCCATGAGGGCTCGACATGGGCCCTTTATGGGTCGGTATAGGCCCAGTGAGTCCAGTGCAGGCCTACCAGGGGCCGGTGGCATATAATGTAAGGCTGTCTCGGGACGTTGAGGGCTCATGGGGGCCATGTAGGAACATTAGGGACCACATAAGCCAATCAGGGGTCCATTTAGGCCAATAAAGGCGCTTCAGGGACTTGAAGAGGCCATTCAAGAGCCGTGGTGGGCCCATGAGGGGACGGCATTGGTCCATCAGGTGCAGTCAGGGGATGTTGTACGGGTTTCTCAGTGGCCCATTTGGGCATTTCAGTGACCAATTTAGACCCAGCAGGGGGCTTTGTAGACCTATCAGGGGCTGGTGATGGTTTATCGGGGGTCAGCGTTAGACCATCGGGGCACGGCATATGCCCATCAGAGGTAATTGCGGGCCCACGCTGAACAATGATGGCCCTTCAAAGGCCCCTAATGGATCTAGATTGACCCATGTTCCATGATGTGTCATGCATGCCCCTATGGCAGGCCTACTCAGACCCCTGATGGACGTTCCCGGCCTCTGATGACCCTATACTGAATCCTGGTGGGGCTCTAAGAGTCTCCAATAACCCTTCTTCAGCCCATTATTACCATACGCTGGCACTAGAGGCCCCACATCAGCCGCAGGGCAGTCCGTGCCAAGACAGCATGTCTTTTCGGCCGATATTACATCGGTAATATTAATTGAAATCATGATTTTATGGTGCCATTATATAGCTAACAGTCATAAGAAATATATTTCAACTCGAAAACAGCTCGAAACAGCATATAATCTTAAAGAAACCCCTCCGAAATCCAAAAGCCTATTCGGGTCCATAGAGAATAACTGCGGTCCCCCGCAATTTCGTCACGAGCGTCGGGCCAATCAGGGTCGAGCACTGCCGAGCGCTGATTGGTGGATTTTCCGCTAGCGCGTGAGTACTGCTCGCGGAACAAGAGTTCGTCGACAATCCTCCACAAACGTCTGTCACCACTTTTCGTAATGCTAAACAGCCGGAGCGTACCCCCCTGGCTTCACCACACAATTTGAGCCCTCAAACTGGAATCAGGTGAGCTCGAAAATGGGGATCAGGCTGAAAACTGGTATCATAGTGAGACTAGTTTTAGAGCTTGACACCGATAATGGGTACTGACTGAGCTCTGTTTCTGCGATCAATGATACCGATTTAAGGGATCGTATGAGCCCATGTGGCGTTGCTCAGAAAGTATTCTCGAAATGTGCTGTCTGTTTTGAATATGGTACATCAGTCGGTGACACACCAGGGAAATAAGCTAAAATTAGAGCGCTCTATTTATTGCTCCCGCTACTTCACCGTCTCCCATAGGGTCCTGTGTTGAGCTGGTGTCGAGGCTCTAAAAATGACGCCGATTTTTGCACCCTTCTCACGAAAACCGCTCGGACCTCCTGGAAACTAATTGTTCCGCTCTAAAAATTTCATGATCGACGGGAAAATGAATGAGGAAAAGATTGGTCCTGAAATAATTCTGAACTCCCTGTAGAACATATCGAAATATGGCTGTAAACTAGGAGCATGTCAAAATCGACAAAACGATACAAATAAACTTACCGGGATTTTTTTATTTTCCATGCATCTGTGTATGAAATCAGTCGGTTTTTCGGAAAGATAATCTTCTGTTTAATAAATAATTCCACAATTGCAATCGAGAAAAAAAAACATTTCTGCTGTGACGGCAGTTTTGGCATTGTGCCAGTAGTGTGGCGTGCGCGGTGCTGCGTGGTCGTCGGGACGGAGTTGTGAGTATTTTCGGTGTTTTAAATGGTTGATGGCCATTTGAACCAGCTTTATATTATTTCCTACAAATTTTTGCATCAAATTACTGCTTTGAAAGACCATTGAAACCCCTTATCTCTTCATGAAACACGATCATATTTATCGTCGACGAAAATGGCGCGGGACCCCATGTGCGTTCAGATCGAAATAAATCTTAAATTAAATAATATTCGATGATAAGTATCATATTCTAGTGACACATTTTCATAAAATAAGGCATAAACTTTGCAAGGAAGTCAACATTGGATGATTGGATTCTTATTTTGCTCACATATCCTTGTGTAGTCAAATGACTCAATTGTTAGATAAATGTAAGCATATGTTTTGGCTTGATGTTTGCTGTGAAACCACCCAGCCACTTGCTGGTTGAGTGGTTTTTGATAATAACCTGATAATCATTTCTCCTTTTCCTTAAAAGAAACTAAAATTCTTTTCAAAGTAATCCATTTTAGGAAAGGCGGCTTGCTCATTGACATTTCATGTTCTTGTTTTGTTATTGCTGGCAGTATTTTGATACAATAATGCAATATGAATTTTTTGCAATAATAAAACCTAAGACAAACCTAGTTAATGCGTCAATCAAACACCCAACAGAAAGATTGTGAGTCCTTGTGACGTGAAGTAGAACACTTTATGAATGTGTTATATAGAATATGCCAAATTTTAAATTAATTATACTGATAGCTGAGCATGTGAATTATGCCACAATATAATTTCATTTTCTGGTTTTGAAATAGCGGGCAGTATTTTACTTCAACAAATGTAATATACATGGAATACATGTTGTTATGTTATGTTAAAAGTTTAATAACAGCAAACAGAAGGGGCTGTTTCAGCAGATAATGTTTGTACCTTATGCATTACCTTTCTTTTCTGCAGGACCATGCTTCCGCTGGGTGGTCGACATTTGCCTCCTGAAGAAGTTGAGCAACATGAAGACCACCATATGAGGTGTCTGCACTCTGCAGTTCATGTGGAACTCTGCAGACTGCAAGTGTTATGCCAACCACAACCAAAGTGCTGTGATCATGGAGGCATGAACCTCATGACAACACTTCAGATTTGCAGTTGTACCAAAGTGTGATTCAAACCACCTGTGGCATCTCACTCAATGTGTGAACAGTGTGATCATTGTGCAGTGTTCAGCTGCAACTAAGACATTTATTAGTGACTTGTTTTGCAATTAGCCACCAAAAGCATTTTTGGGCTGGCTGCTGTAATTTGTTGTGCACTGCGCAATAGTGGTAGTGTTTTGTCACTTGTCAAGTTGTCAGTTGTGCATGTTGCATGTTTCTCTTCCCTCGGCCCTCATTATCAGTTAAGTGGTGAATTGGCATCACTCAGTCTCCCCAGATCTCCATTGACTGTCTGTCAACCACCTAACTTGAGATGGTATTTGCTAACAGTGTCAGAAAATAAGTGATTGTAGACATTTTTAGGAATATGAGCTCCGTTTCATGCGTGTTGCGGTGGTCATTTTGTCACTTGTCCCATAGTGTAATAAATGGAAACTGCTGTTCCCTTTTCAAGGTACTCGCGGATGCAGAAAGCGTTGGGCCTAATTATTAAACGCACCCTTCTATCAGCGACGCACGAAATCGACAAATAGGTATCATCCTTTTTAGAGCAGGAGGAAACGAAAACTTGTGAACATAGCTGTACCTACAACAGTGCATAAGGAATTGGAATTCTGGGAGTTTTTGAAATTCGGAAACTCAAGTTGTCGACAGGTATGCCCCCTTGTACGTCAAAGACCGCCTAAAAAACAAACGTCTACAAATGAAGGCAGTATTCGTAAGTTCGTTGTAATTGCAGCAGCCTAGCAACATGCATTGCGGTCCGATGGCGAATTACACTCGTGCTAAAAAAAAACTATGCCGGTAACTGCCAACGTACTTAGGTCGTAGGTGAGGAGAGGAAGGGTTATGTCAAATGTCAACATCAAAGAAATGGCTTCATCTGAGCTGTGCCTATTGTACATAATTCAACCAATCTATGCATTTCGTTTCTTGCTAGCTACTCATGCTTTCACTCCTGCTTCAGAGTAATCATCCCATATTGTACGTCTTAAGATATTGATTTCTATGGCAGTTCGCAATTGCTAGCCACGTCTCACCTCAGTTTGGTGGCCCCGCATCGGCCCACTCGGCCGCTCTAAAATTGACGTACGGAGGAGGATGGTGGCTTTTATTTTAGCTTCTCCGCTGACTGCGGGGAGCGCCGTCGCCGAGGTAGGAGCAATAATTAGCTTAAGTTTGGGACTAATTTCCACGCTTAATTAACATTTTAATGTTATTTTAATTAATTCATGTTAATCTTTGACGCATTCTCTTTCTATTGATACCATCCACCGGCCTGAGAAGTACTGCCTTGCTGCGTAAGGGCCGATAAAAGATCACGCTTTTAGGGGTATCTCTTCAACATGGGGCAGGAGCAATAAATAGAGCACTCTAATTTTAGCTTATTTCCCTGGTATGTCACCAACTGACATTAGCCCGAAAACTGGTCTCTGAGCCCGAAAATCGGGACACTGTTTTCTCAGTGTACCTAATCACGTACGTTTTGGTAGCGTGTAGGTGGACCGAGGAGTCCAGCATTATGACCAGAGGAGTCCAGCAGTGGGAAGTCCATACCTACCTCTATTTTGAGAAGTGCAGGCCCGCGACATTTCCAACCCCCACGTCAGCGACGCTGCTGGATTTAAAATGATCGATCTGGAGCGTCAACAAACGACTGGCCCTATGCCGGCCTGTATCTGTAAAACTATTAGAGGTCGCGAGGATTCGATTCCACACACTTAGGCGTTAGTGTCTTCTGAAACCAACGCTGTCGTCCTACGCCAAGCGACCTGACAATTCTCCCGATGTGGAGCTTGATATTTTTAACTGGGACCATGCAAGTAGGTACTCAAAGCTGTTGCCACAGAGCAAAATTAATCGTGTTTTGTTAATTATTGCTTTAATATTCATTGTGATCAGAGAGCTTTTTTATTCCAAAGAAAAGTTAGGAAGAAAACCTAAAGAAAACCATGCGGCGCGAGTTATTGGCGAAAAACAGGAGGGGTGGGCGGAATCCGCCTCCCCCCTTCCACTGCGCGTGTTAAAATGTGAGGATGAGAGAGAAGGAGTGGGAAATTGTAATTAAGTTCGAACGTGTTTTTAATGTCCAAATGCATAATGCAGTTTTGTCCGTAATGGCACAATCAAACAAAGACTACACTCATTCGTTTACATGTAATTGTACATCAACCGGGCCTGCCTATTGACTAGGGCCGGTCTCCGGCTGGTTTTGTTAGGTCTAGTTTCAGGTTTAGTTTCATGAACGGCGTTGATGTACTTGGGAGTTTTTACAGCGTTAACTAAACAATGCTTTATGCTACAGCCGAGTCTGCAACTCAACCTGGTCGTTACTCAGCATTGTCGTTATCACAGAGCTTCAAATCGATCAGCTACAGGCTGAACACGTACCTATAGGGTATAGGAAGACGTCCAAAAACTGTTGGCCATAGTATCTGTAGTGGGATCTACGTTCCATGCTGGTCAGGCATTTTGCGAAATGCCTAGTCATTTTGTAAAATGGCTAGCCATTTTGAAAAATGCCTGGTTGCGTTCAGTCATTTTTCAAACAGCCGTCTTTTTGTAAAATGCCTAGGTATTTTACAAAATGACTGATTTTCTAAAGTGCCTGCAACATATATATTGCTAAATTATATACCAGGATGACGAGCATTCTGATACATTTTTAGTTCACGCAGACAGGATGTGGAGGAACGTCCATCGTGTATTTTACTTGTGCTTGAACTTACCCCCTTTCTCGCTGACACGAATCAGCCCATCTGAACATGTGTTAACTGTTAACCAGAGCCAAGGACTCCCAGACTCATAAGGCGGACTGAAAAGGCTCCTATCGCCCATTTTCAGCTCTGCCAGAGATTTCCATTGTTTCCTTGTTATATCAGTGGCGTCCCAAAACCAGTTGTCTATGGAGGGCAGGTCGGAGATTTCGATACTGGCGGTCCTGTTGGTGTCTTTCTTCGTCTTTCTGAGGTATCTACTCGGCGATCATCATGTTTCAAACTGCCTCAATACTCTAAAACCACCCATCTGTGTTGTTCCTCACTGAACGACGGTGGACAGTGCGTGCTCGTTTGGTGGGGCATTTTCAGGCTCCCATGGGGTCAAGGCCGTCGGTTAAAGTGACCATCCCACCTTAACATTAGTTTTGAGTTGAGATAGCCAAATTGGTGGTCATGGCCTGAAAATACCGGTTTGGGCACTCACAACATCGGAAAATGCTTTAATTCGGAGATATGGAATTTCATTGCAGTTTTCGGATTCTAAGGGGCTAATGCATTGGAATGCCCCCTTAGAATTTGTGACGTCAGCGGAGATCTAACGATTTTTTAAATCTTAGACTAAAACCATCGTTAACAGTTAACACGTGGTGGTATACCGTATTAACATCTTCGAGGCTGCCAAATTATTGCTTCGAAATAAGTCGCTAGGAACAGCGGGGATCCCAAAAGTAAACACAAACAAAAGCCTAATATTTTGAAAACCAGTGAATATTTTTTTTTTCGGTGAAATTAGGTAGACATTCATTTTTGATCGTTCCGAGCAAAGGGACACCACTTGTACATATGCCAATTGACAATTCATTAACTTTTTTGAAGGTGGGAGCATGGGAGGGTCCTTTTAAAAGGGACAAATCATGACGCCATACAAAATGTCCCAGATTTATTTATCACGTGCATTGTTTTTTGCATGCGATTATTCGATTTAAGAACCACCATTGACGTTTACTTTTCAACAGTTCAAAAAATCACCATGTAGTTCACATTTTACCAATTCTGCCTTTCAGAGCACAGAGGCCGTTGTTCGGTATAGGTATGTACATAGATTTCTATTTCCGTCTTCGACTGGCCGGTGTCATACTTTTCATTGACATTGTCATTTCATTGTCATTGTTCATAGGTGTCATAGTTTTTTGTCTTCGACCATTCAATAGTCGGTTGTGCTGCGACAGTCCCGTGCACCATAGTCGTTACCTCCGCTATGTGGCTCAGGACGTTGTGTAAAATTCATGCGTCGTTATGGTACCAAAAAGTCGTGCTCGTTGACCCCGTAGTGGTTTGCCAGGTAGTCGCTGTCTCCGTGGTTTGCCAGGTAGTCGTTGGCTCCGTAGTGGTTTGCCAGGTAGTCGCTGGCTCCGTAGTGGTTTGCCAGGTAGTCGCTGGCTCCGTAGTGGTTTGCCAGGTAGTCGCTGTCTCCGTGGTTTGCCAGGTAGTCGTTGGCTCCGTAGTGGTTTGCCAGGTAGTCGCTGGCTCCGTAGTGGTTTGCCAGGTAGTCGCTGGCTCCGTAGTGGTTTGCCAGGTAGTCGCTGTCTCCGTGGTTTGCCAGGTAGTCGTTGGCTCCGTAGTGGTTTGCCAGGTAGTCGCTGGCTCCGCAGTGGTTTGCCAGGTAGTCGCTGGCTCCGTAGTGGTTTGCCAGGTAGTCGCTGGCTCCGTAGTGGTTTGCCAGGTAGTCGCTGGCTCCGTAGTAGTTGGCTCCGTAGTCGGTAGCTCTGTAGTCGAAGGCTCCACAGTCGTCACGGGATGCTCGTCCTTCTGACAAATGAAGCGATAGTAACCGAGGCTGCAGTCGGCCGTCCGCCAGCCGCCAGTGCCGCCTTCGTGGATGAGCGCGCACCTCTCACCGTCGCCGTGCGGCTGCAGCGGCTCCCAGTTGTGCCAGTCGTAGACGGATCCGTCCGACCAAACCCACGGCCGTCCGCTGTCACTGCGGCGCAGGCCCAGCCAGCCGCTCTGATAGTGCAGCACCTGCTCCGTCAGAAACGCGTTCACCTGTACATCGTGCACGGAAACGGGCCTCGAGCCGGGCGCCTGCAGCTCGCACACGCTGGCTACAGAGCGCCACTCGAGAGGGAACGACGAGAGCCAGTAGCACTGGCCGCGGTACAACTGCCACTCGGGGGAGGGACAGGCGGCGCCGGCGGCGGCCAGCACAGCGCACAGAGCCGTTAGACGGGCCAGCAGCGCCATGGTGATGAGGACGGAGCACTGTGGAGAGAGACGTCCACTCGACAGAGTGAGAGAGGGAGCGCCGGAGATAGAAATATCCGCCCGACTGGCTGCGGTGACAGTGGCCAGTCGCCCTCACAGCGACAGGACGGTCGGCAGCCGTGGGTACAACCAGCTGGTGGTCTTGTAACGTGGCACTGCAGTTTCTTATCCGCCTGCCGCCATTGGCAGCTGCTGGTGGCGAGTCGAGTGTCTCGCGCTGGGAACGGGACAGGTGTGGACACAGCGTGTGCGTGAGATGAATGGCGCTTCTTTTGCAGACGGTTCAAATCATGGGCTCTCAAATCATGAGTCTCAGTGGCCAGTGGGCCTCAAACTGACTTCAGAAGGCCCCACGCCGCTGGGCTTAGAAGACCCCAAGCTGGACATAGGCAGCCCCACACTGAACATGAGGGTCCCACACTGGCCTTAGAAGGCCCACACTGTGCTTAGAAAGCCCCACAATGGACTTAGATGGCCCCACGCTGGCCTTAGAGGGCTCCACGGCTGGTTTTAGAGGGCTTCACGCTGGCTCCTTAGGATTCCAACTTCCACGCCAGCGTCAAAGGGTCCCACGCTCAAGTCTAAGCTTCTGTAAGACCGCCGAAGCGGCCTCTGAGGGCCCCAGGCTAGCCTCTGGAGCTCGGCCCCAGCCTCTGAGGGCCCTGAGACGGCCTATGAGGGCCCTACGCCGGCCTCTGACTTCTGAGGGCCATCAAACGGCAAATTTAAGATAGTCTATCGTAGTTGACTTTATTTAAAGACTTAATGATGTAATGACTTTATAAGTTTGGGCCAGTACTTCGGATAAGGCCGTTTCTCTTGGGACACCCAAGCATGCACGTACCCAGGATTTCGTCCAGGAGGGGACAACTTGCTCTCAGTCGAAGGGGCCCCGGGTTACCTGGGGGCCACTGTCAACCCAGGCAGGGACTTATCCAGAACATTTCGATGGGGGGGGGATTGGGCACAGTGGGTCCGGTCCCCCTTGCGGACGGGCCCCTCTGTCTGTCTGTCTGTCTCACTGTCTGTCTGCCTGTCTGTCTAAGCCCTGAGAAAATGTGGAAAATTGGCAGGTAAAAGTATCATTTTGCCTGAGAAATGTGCATAAAATGCACGGTCTTTTATGAAGAAGCGAAGCGAGCGAGCCCCTCAGAGTCGCCGATGTTGGTC